TATTAATAAAAGTCATTCATTTAGTGAAACCAATTATACAAAGGTTTTTATTGAGAAAAATAATTATTTTAAAATATCTTAAAATTTAAAATTCAATAACACAATCTTGGCTTCAGAATAAAAGGAATAAGAAACAAGATAAAAGAGATAAAAGGAGTAATATATGTAGGTGGTCCATACATAGAATGAATATCAAACTGATTCAAAATCTACCAAATTTTATGTTTTTTCTTGTTTTAACCCGATATAAGGTACATTTTATTTTACTGTTCTCTTTCTTATTAATTAATATTGGTTGAATTCCAAAATTACCCTGCTTTCTTCGACATCTTAAATCTTCATTAATCGTAATTGCATGAATTTTATAACATCTTATCAATTTTAATTAAACAATAATTGCTTCAACATTTACTGTTCTCTTGCTTAAATTGTAAAGTGTTATGCAAGCAAACTTCATGAGGTCCCGCGGGTCTTGTCTGTGTAAGGTTGTGCATGTGCCCCGAGATTGGCCGTCTCCTGTCCCCATGCCCGTGGGGAAATTCCATCCCCGATTGTCGCTCTGCTGCGTCCTGCCCGTCTCTAGATCCGTTAAACGATTTGAGTTTAAAATGTTTAACTGTCAAAGACAATTAATCTTACTAAAACTTGTTCTCGCAAAAAAAAAAAAAAAAAAAAAAGATAAAAAAAAAAAAACCTACAAGTTTAACAAGGTGGAACAAACGAAGAGGTGTGCTTTTCACTAATGGCTGCTCACAAAGTTAATTAGAAAGGCGTTTGCTGATGTTGCGCAGGAAAATAATGGTCAGCAACAGTGGATAATCATCAAATGCGTTGAATGGGCAATTGCGGAGATGAAATAAACCAACCAAAAGATATTCGAAAGGCAGCAGACGAAGTTGGATAAGTGTTGGATAAGGAGAGACTATCCAAGAATCCAACCTTTCACGGCTTAATTAACATCACAGTTCTTATCGAAATCTTGTGCAAGAGAACCTTTCGCTGCCACCTGTTTCGCCATTCAATATTCTCATGTCCTCCATTACGATACCACAGTTTGCAGATGTACTACTTAGTTCGCGAAAGCAGTCCATTCTATTAAGCCGAGTGGGTCTCGCCGGAACCCTAAGATTTGGTGATGAACCACACAAGTTCAAACCAGAATGCACATCAAGAATGATGGGCTTTAGTGACACTTAACTGAAGCCTGATTGCGTTTACATTTCATTTCAGCACGGGAAGACGCGGGTGTGGCAGGGGTGACAATGGGGACTTCAATTACTTTGATGGTATTTGCAAGACTTCTCAAGGGTTTACTTGGAATGTCCTCGTTAACGAAAAAGAGTATTGATCTTTAAGAGTCCTGAGGGTGATCTAACACTTGCTAAGCCCATTGGTTTTGACTCGCAAAACCGACGTTTGCCTGCGTATTGTATAAAGTCAAATCATGGCATGATAACTAAGAATGACATTTATGATTTTCGAGCTTTAAACTTCTATTTCATAATAAGCCATGCACTTTCTTGATCATTAAGCTTAATAGTTATTATTTTGATCAGACTATATAATTGTAAAATTTTTCAGGTTGTTTTTATCTTTGAGTCGCTTTTATCCATTTTTTAGATTTGTGAAACTTCATATCTTTAAGATTAAAGCAGCAAATAGAAAAATCCCTTAAATTGCAAATAAAAAGCTTTGACCGATCATGGTCCATCTATTGACTGAAATTGTATAGTTTTAAATCTCTAGTTATTCATGCGCCTTAAATGGCCGAAAAATGATTTTGGAATAACCAGCAACGGAATAGTTATCTTCTTATTTTTCCGATCTAACGAAAGCATTAAGACTAATAGGAATAAAAAGACTTCAAGTAGTTTGTTGGGTAATTCATTAATCTGAAGCCTTGATGTCTATTCTCCTGCACATCTCCATCGTATGACAAACTTTTGCTTTCCGGCACTTAAGGTTTATTTGGTCAACTCATCGGAATTATTTTCCTGCGCCTCCTTGATAGGACGAGTAAACATCAATACATCATTAGCAGTGGTGCTAATGATAGGTAATGTCAGCATACTTTGTTGGCATGAGTTCAAAGTCCTGGAGTTTTTGATCAACAAAGACAGAAGGGCTTAGGTTAGTGAGGGCAGCAGACGAACGCCATGCATATGCAGGGACTGGCATTTCAGGTGCTGAGGAGCAAATGGGCAACGGAGGAGTTGTTGACGGAGCGAGAAGTCAAATCCCTTTTAGATTGTGAGAAGAATCCTAATTGAAACATGCGAGAGCACGTTCTTAAAAAGGATATTTCGCAATCAACAGCAAAGAGAGAAAAAGCTATGCGAAAACCTTTCCGGGGAATTTAACAGGCTCTTCTCAAATCGAATTTTTTCAAGTAAAAATACTACGTAATTAATTCAATACTAACAGCAAAAGATATCAGAAGATAAATTTGCAATAATGAAATAAACTGTCCGAAACCTCACAATGTTCACAATTAATAGAAAATCAAGCCAAAAAATATAAAAAATTCAGCTTGAATCAGGGCTCACGAGGGGGCAAATCACTTAGTTAAATAGTCCAACCTTGGGTGCGTGCTGCTCAACCCCTTTTACTACACTTTTTCAACTTGCCCAATATCAATACACTGTTAATAAACTTCTTTAAAAGGCCCTCCCATAAGTTATGTAGGATTGTTTTGAAATAACTTCCAACACGATTGCAGACAGAAATATTAATTTAATGAGTTTTTTTTTTAGGATGGGAAATTTCAAGACAATGTTCTGCCAACAGGTTAAAAATTTCTGCAGTAGTACGGTACACAATCTGAACACCTCTAATGGAACGCCATCTTAGCAATATAATGGAGCAGCTGAGAACATATAAATGAGGAAGGACTTAAAGGTTTTGGAATTGAAATGGTGGTGTTTTATTAAAGAAAATCCTAAAAATAAATTTATTGCCTTAATTAAGATTTTGGGTCGGTATCATCATGAAGACTCTGATAGTTTATAGAGAAGATGAAACTTTCTCATTAATTACTTGGAAGTTTTGATAAACCGATGTGGGAGTATAATTACTGAATTTGAATGTTTTTAAAACTCTTGCAGTGGAGACCATATATGATTGTACAATAAAAATTCAAAAGTTATTACTATTGTAATGCGACAAAAAAAATATTAAATTCTCACTTGTGCGAGAGTTGGGAAGATCTCAAGTCCGAGTCTTATCTCGTATCGTTAATTTGGTGTGAGCTAGGGGAAGTTATCCTATTGTATAATCTACCAATGTCATTTCGACGTGATTGGACCTCCAATGAATTAAAAAAAATATTAATTGGTCATAATAAAATATTAAATTGGCCACAATTAGGTAACAAATAGGCAATGATGATCTTTTTTTACACACCAAAGGCAGCTTAACTGAACTGTTGTTTATAATAATTATTTCACCTTTCAAATTGCTCTGGAAGTTGTTAAATTGTATTAAGGAATCAAATTGAAAATCAACTCACAATGTTGTAAAGCACATAAAATCTGATACACTCCCCAAGATTGCTGGATGCCCTCAGTAATTTGGTTAATGTATAAATCCTTTTATTTTTCACAACATTCTCAACTTCAGTTTGTGATACTGACAAATTGATTTGTCAGCCATAAGATCACCTGGACACTGGAAACAGGGTAGCGAAGGGAAAAGTGGAAGTGGACTTTCGTAATAAGTATTCAACAATCACGTGATAGTGTATATTTTGAGATTTTGGAACTGATTGCTTGTTCTCTTTTATAAAGTTAACTAGACGCTTTAGCTATGGTTAGTCTGCATCAGGGAATTTTCTGAGCGCTTTGCGTAATAACTTAGGGGATGTGTGTTTGTTTTGTGTAGCTTTTAAAAATTTTAACTTCTATGCCAGTGTTAAATTCCATGCACTTATTGTGAATGCCTTACAACAAACATCTGTTTTGTTCTGGTTGATCATTTTATTCGCTTTAATTTTCATTTTATGTAATAAATTTCAACTTATCTTGCTTTTTTTTTTTCCTGATGTGCCTTTAACATAGATCTGCATAGCCCAATTCAGTTTACATGTGATACATATCAACTTTATGAGAATCTGGTTGGAGGATGTTATTTTTAAAGTGGAAAAAGGTAGGCCAATATTGTTTTTTTTTTTTTCGTTCACAATACTTGTTTCTTTATTAAACTTTCTTACCCGAGTGAAATTGATTGCCCCAACCCCCTTCCCATCCCTACAAAAAAAAAAAAAAAAAAAAAAAAAAAAAAAAAGGAAAAAAAAAAAGTCTAATTACAATTAACAGGGCAGCGCCTCCACTGTGGATGCATAGCTTCTAAGTCTTTGCTTCAACTTTTGGATTTTGGGGGTGTTGGTTGTACGAGCTGTGCAAAGAATTATCGACTTCACCCGGTAAGATTAATTGCACCTAGCATTTCCAATTGTCAGAACCAATGTGCTTTGTAAAGGCTTGCTTGGCTTTTAGTTCTCTAGTGCTGCTAGTCATACTCTGAATATGGCATGAAACATTGATTTACATACACATCAGCTACATTATAAACAATGTCAATAGATTATAAGTGTTGTTCGTTTGGTTACTTTTAAGTCCTAATCATGGCTCCTTCTGCAGTGATATTCCTATATTCTCTTATATGTCATCTGGGTTCAAGGTTATTACTTACTTCTAATGGTATAGAGATAGTTATTGATCATGGAAAAGGGCTGAGGGGAAACTTATTCAACTTATAAGAAAATTTGGCATTTAGATATAGATCCCTGACATTTGGTTTGTTGTCATAATGTTTAATGATAACTTTGCTGACACTTGTTCTAGAATTTACCTGCTAGAGATGTGGAGCTTGCAATGGTCTCTAACATTTGTTTGTGCCTCTTATTTTCTCATGTTGTAGATCCGTAGTGATGAGATTCCTAATGGTTTTGGCTTGTTAATAAATAACGCCTGTGATTTGGAATCAACTCCTCTAGAAAATAGAGTGGCTGGTCGTACTTTTGATGAGGGAAAACTTGCACAGCTGTGCAGACTCATGGAGGCTAATGCACCCAACCTATTATGTCAGTCTGACTAGAAAATAGAGTGGCTGGTCGTACTTTTGATGAGGGAAAACTTGCACAGCTGTGCAGACTCATGGAGGCTAATGCACCCAACCTATTATGTCAGTCTGAGGGAGCTGACACAAATGCAGGTCTGGGGCAATTCAGACAAGAGGAGGTGATGCATCAAATTGTAGAAGCTAGCTCAGGGTTCTCAGCTGCTGCTCAATCATCAGCTGGACAATCTAAATTTGCCCAACCATCAATATTAGATATGAGAGATATCCATGGATCACATGCTCAGCCATCCTTGAGTATGTCAATGGGAGCTCCATCAGGAACGGCAAGTTTTGCTCCATATCCTTGTGGGGTTGTTGAAGGAAAAGAGCAAAGCAAAACATCTCCCTTTCAGCAAGGGCAAAGATCTCGTCCAATATTTCCGAAACCCTCAAAACCGGTTCTTGCTGGGCGTTCAGAGACCAATAAGGTTGCAGTCTCTGAGCTGCGAATTGCAAGACCACCTGCTGCGGGACGGGGGAAGAATAAGTTACTTCCCAGGTACTGGCCAAGAATCACTGATCAAGAGCTGCAGCAGTTATCTGGAGAGTATCCTTTTCTTTGTTAAGTTAAATTTTTTAGTATACCTGCTTCTGTGAAATGTATGCTGTTGTTTATACTAGACTATCAATTGTTGACCTTAAGTATATTATCTACTAGTTTGAATTCCAACATTGTCCCATTATTTGAGAAGGTTCCCAGTGCCAGTGATGCTGGTCGAATTGGTCGCCTAGTTCTCCCAAAGGCATGTGCTGAAGTAAGTTTTTACCTGTTTAGCCTGTTTTTCCTATTCTGCTCCCTCCCCCGCAGCGTTCCTTTTCCCATTCCTTTTCTTTTGTATTCCTGTAAAATGTAAACTGTTGCAGTCATATTTTCCTCCCATTTCTGAATCTGAAGGCCTTCCTTTAAGGATTCAAGATGTGAAGGGGAGAGAATGGACATTTCAGTTCATTTTTTGGCCCAATAATTAACAGCAGGATGTATGTCCTGGAGGGTGTAACCCCTTGTATACAGTCTATGCAATTGCAAGCGGGTGATACAAGTATGTTTTTCTCTATTCTTGCTTATACTTTGATACTAGTCACTAGGTGCTAAATATATGTGTCACATATTGGATGGTATATATAATGATTGAGCATATGGTCTATGCAATTTAGTGAATAAGAATACGTACTTGATATCTCTTGCTCACATGTTAAAATTGATACCTGATTGCTCACATGCTAAACCGCAATGTTCTTTAAAAGCTCGCTAACTTATTGTATTAAGTATGAATTTCAAGTTATTCTGAGTGCTGAATGGTATTATGAAACACTATCTTAATTAATACAGAAAGTGAGTGAACAGTACAAAAATATGAGAAACTTTATTCGGATTTTGTAGTACATGAAACTTATCAGTGGTGGAGGTAAAGGGTGGCCCCTATCCCTGTACCTCAAAAAAAATTTTCGAAATTACTCCCATAAAATTTCTGGATTTCTTTTTTGATTCTTCCCCTCTATCCACTGAACAAAATTATGAAGACTGCTGTTCAGATTCTGTAACAGTAAATTAGAGTGTCGAATTTGCCTCAGAAACAATAATCTATTTGGGGTGACGGCTACCATTGTTAATGTTATCGAAATTGTGAGTTCCCTAAAACTTGAATCCGATGAAATCATTCTAAAATAGTTTTACAATAAGTAAAATCGGTAAAATTGATGGAATCGGTAGAATCTGAATGATTTCAAAGTTGCTGTGCAATTGGGCAATTAGGCTAATCTATTTGACAAAATAATGGGTATTTAGGCTGGATTTTGATGAGGCCCAAAAGGAAAGTGAAACGAGGTATTTGAGGAAGAAAAAATTAGGGGTTCAATTCAATCATTCAGATCTCCTGTTCTGTCTATCGTTTCTCTGTGACTGCAACGCTATACTCCCACTCCAAAGCGGCCGACTGCAACGCTTCTCTTTCACACTTTAATGCTTGCATGCAAAAGTCAATCTAAAACTCCTTGCAGGAAAAGAAAAGTGACGTGAACTGCTGAAAAAAAAAAATTTTGTTCTGATTTTTTTGTTTTGTCAAATACCTTTTTAAAAAAAAAAAAATTTGTCAGAATATTTTTAAATATTATGGCTTTTCTCTATTTTTTTATTTTTCTAATATTCTTTATTTTGTCTCCCTTTTTAATTAAAACTTATTTAATTATAAAAATTATCATCTTAAATAAAAAAAAGATGGATTGGTATTTAATGCACTTTTTTTCCTCTTTTTTTTATTTTTCTAATATTCTTTATTTTGTCTCCCTTTTTAATTAAAACTTATTTAATTATAAAAATTATCATCTTAAATAAAAAAAAGATGGATTGGTATTTAATGCACTTTTTTTCCTGTGATAGTCTGGTTTATGTCATATTTTGGTTCGAGTCCCTTTAATGGATGTGATTGTTGTACCCTATCTTGTTTTTTCTTCCTAATTTTACCTCTTTTCTATTGCAGTAACTTTTAGCCGGATAGATCCTGGGGGCAAACTTGTCATGGGATTTCGCAAGGCTACAAACAACTCTTTAGATACACAGGTTAGCCACATTTCATTTCATTCTTTTATTTCTTCAATTTTCAGCTGCCAATTGTCTTTTCTTTGTGGTGCAAACTTTTTTATTCTTAATGCTCTTGTTAAATGAACAGGATGCCCAAACATCTGCAATTCCTAATAGTGCTGCTATCACCGAAACTTCTTTTTCTGGTATTGTTACAGTAAGTGGTTACTCTGGTCTTTTCCAAATTCTTAAAGGATGCAAGAATCCTCACCTAAATTCTTTCTGAACTTTTGAGTTAAGCTGATGGGGATATTGGCTGGAACAAGAGTGAGAATCACGGAGGCAGGGTAAATGGGGATGCACTGCTGCAATCAACGTCAGAGAAGAAAAGAACTCGAAATATTGGACCTAAGAACAACGTCAGAGAAGAAAAGAACTCGAAATATTGGACCTAAGAATAAGCGATTACTCATGAATAGTGAAGATGCTTTGGAGCTCAACGTCAGAGAAGAAAAGAACTCGAAATATTGGACCTAAGAATAAGCGATTACTCATGAATAGTGAAGATGCTTTGGAGCTGCGACTTACATGGGAAGAAGCGCAGGACTTGCTTCGCCCACCCCCTAGTGTAAAGCCGAGCATTGTTACTATTGAGGACCATGAATTTGAAGAATATGATGTAAGTTTCTCGAACTCAACATTTTTGTTTGTTTATCTTATGCATGGATTGATGGTGTGACAGATTCAGAAGGGTAAATTGCATGAATGATCATTTGTATTAGTTTGATTATTGAACTTCAGATTATTCCAACTTTCAACTAGGCAGCTAAACCTCTGCAAGGTTATAAATGTGGCATTTTCTGCCAGATGTTGTTAAGCAACTAACATTAAGCTTATGTGGTTGTTCCCGGAACCCAAATGGCAGGAATGTCCTTGATAGCTTAGACTATGTAACACATGCTTCCATATTTGCTTAAAATGTCCCTATTTTGCACTATGGTGGAACTAGAAGGTTTTTCATTTTTTTTTTTTTGATTCTCTGAACGAGGCAACCCTAGACCAAAGAATATACTGTGCCTGTGTTGCGTTAATTTTATTTTATTTTATTTATTTTATTTTTGTTAATTTTTTAATGATTCTGCCACAAGCTCTTATAAGTGCTCCTTATGGAGACCTGACAGAGGACTGAATTGATACACTTGTCAGTAACCGAAATGAATCAAAATGAGGTTTCATGGATGAATTAAAATTAAATGGGTTTAGTAACTGTCTTTGCAATTTGCCCGCGTGGGAGAAACAAATATTTAAAATCTACCTTGTTTTTTGATTAAACATGTTTGTTGTCATTTAGGAGCCACCAGTTTTTGGGAAGAGGACAGTATTTGCTGATCAACCATCAGGGTAAGAATTTGTGTACTCATTTTTATTCTTTTGTTATTTTGGGCCAGGGGACAGGAGCAATGGGCTCAATGTGATGATTGCTCCAAATGGCGAAAATTGCCGCAAGATGCTCTTCTCCCTCCGAAGTGGACCTGTTCAGACAATGTTTGGGATTCAAGCAGGTGTGACTTACGTCTTCTTTTTAAGTATTTTGGAAAGTTTCATGTGAATATCTATCACGAGTGGAGATTCTTTTAATTTATTTTCTGGTCTACACTTTCCTTCCAGGTGTTCGTGTTCGGCACCAGAGGAGATGAGTCTGAAGGATTTAGATTATCTTCTGAGAGTGAGCAAAGGTTTGACTATTCCCTTGAAGTGTTCTGCCTACCAATGGGAGAAAGAACCACCTCTACAGATTTTTTAAATATTCTTATTATGTGCATCATATGATCAGATTTTCTAAATATTCTTATTATGTGCATCATATGATGTGGTCAATCTCATTGGTAAATAATATAATAGCCTGTTGATATTGTTGTCCCATGCTATGTCCTTTACAGATTTGAAGAAGCGAAGGATTGTAGAGAGACGCAAGGCATCACCTGAATGTGAGCCTTCTGGATTAGATGCATTAGCTAGTGCTGCTGTTTTAGGCGACAATATTTGTGATACAGGTGAGCCATCAGTTGGAGATACGACAAAGCATCCAAGGCACCGTCCTGGTTGTACTTGCATTGTCTGCATTCAACCTCCCAGTGGTAAGGGCAAGCACAAACCCACATGTACATGCAATGTGTGCATGACTGTAAAGCATCGCTTCAAAACACTCGTGCTACGTAAGAAGAAACGACAATCAGAACGTGAAGCGGAAATTCCCAGAAGGTGGACAACAATGACTGCAAGGATGATTCTGAAATGTCACCTACAGATAAGTTGGATAATGAAAGAAATCCAAATAGAAAGCAAACTGAGGTGGCTGAAACCAGTGCTGGGCAAATAGACTTAAATTGTCATCCTAACGGCGAGGATATACAGATGGACATCCCAGGATTGAGCATAATGGACCTTGCTGATGCAGCCAACATGCCATTTGACAATTATATCAAGGAAAATGGGCTTTCAAGCTTGATGTGTGACCGGCAGGCGAGCTTGGGATCCTGTTCCCATTCACAATCTGATGGTGAGAATCTGAGACGGCTGTCTGATGAAGCATTTCTGGCATCTATCGGTTGGGATCGTGAGAGTAGAGGTGATTAAGAATGCTTTTGTGGAATGTAGACTAAAGTGGTGTTTCAAAAAGATTCCATAATTTATCAAAGTGTAATTTTTTTTTTTTTTCTCTCTTATTCCTCTCCAAAGGGGTGGTGCCATACCATACATCTGATCTCACTAGTCACACAGGATGTAGTTTTGTTGTAATGTTTAATTTGCTCTTCGTTTCAATCTCTCTCTCTAAATATAATGAGTTGTACATTCTATTCTTAGTAGATTTTATTCCTAGTAGATTTGGAAGAAAATAAATTTATTATTATTATTTTTTTAATATAAGGAAAATAAATTAATCGGAGAATTTTTTTTTGGATTTTCGAATGTTTAGAATTATCTTGAAAAGTATTATTTTAATCATGCTAAAAAATTAATTTTGTGTCTAATGTCAAGACTTAATTTAATATTTTTTTTTTTTGATTATCTAGAACTTTTTATTATTTTTAGTATTTTTTTCAATTTTTCCCTCCAATTGAAAGAATCTTTCTTATTTTTCATCTTTTTCCTAAATAAAGAAAAATTCTAAAATAACATATCTAGAACATTTTATTATTTTTACGATTTTTTCAATTTTTCCCTCGAATTGAAAGAATTTTTCTTATTTGCCATCTTTTTCCTAAATAAAGAAAAATACTAAAATAACGTCCATTTACATTTTCTTCAGTTTTTTTCTTCTCATATTTTACCTTTATTCAAACATTAATTTCTGTATGTGCAAGTGCACTTCCGGACGTGTCGGTTCTTACCTTTCTGAGTGATTGGAAAACAAGTTTTCCGAACGAAACAGAGAATATCGTATAGAACCCCGAAATTCGTTCGGAAACTTGGCCGATTCATTAGGTAATATAGAACCCCGAAATTCGTTCGGAAACTTGGCCGATTCATTAGGTAATATATTTAAACCAAGGTCATAGACCTACCAGATTACCGCTCCTTGCTGCTGCATTTCTGCTATGTTCTTGTTTTCCTTGTTATTGATGGTTAGATTGTGACCTTCGGGTTGAGGCTATACAAAATTTCAATTTTTCGTCAATTCCTTAAAACAAAGTTAAGTTCTTGATTGATCATAAATGTTATGTTCATTTGATGAAATAGAGTTAATTTCTTGAATTGAATTTCTTGAGTAATAATTGTTAATTTTCTATTTTCTTTCGTTTACATTTCTTTACTTCAATGGCTCGAACTTATAATTAGTGCATATTTTCATGTCTATTCGAAAAATTTTTCAATTTATAACATAAAACACACAAACTGGTATCAGATTTACAAATTTGATGATGGAAAGATGATAAGAATGAGACAAAGTTAAACAGAGACGTACATATTTGGTTAAAGGAAATGGGAAATTAAGAGAGAAAGTGATTGAGACTGACAGTGAGCAGTTTGTTTCTATTCCATAGATGGCCTTGCATGAAAAGTTAGATAGATTCAAGAAGCAGCAAGAGAAGTGCCAATCCACCCTTGTTGACATTGCTGGACCTTCTAAATCCACTGGAGCTCAAAAATCTATCCCTTCTGCATCAACAGTAACAAATACTAGAACTCCAGGTCCACCTGTCAAATTTTCAAATGACACAGAGAGACTCCAACATATCAACAGTATTCGAAAAGCTCCTGTTGGAGCTCAGATGAAGCGTGTGATAGGCCTGCTATTTGAGGTTCAATTCTAAGTTCCAGTTAGTAATTTTTTTTTTTTTTTTTTTTTTTTTTTTTGTGATGACTATATACAAAAAATGATGTTCATAATAGTTTTTCAAGGTATTGATAGTACAACTAATTGTAAACTTTTTTTTTTTTTTTTTTTTTTGTGATGACTATATACAAAAAATGATGTTCATAATAGTTTTTCTTGGGGAAGATTTTTGCCAGTTCTTCCTCCTAGCACACATTTTCCTTCTTTTTGGTGCCATTTTAGCATTAGTTTATGCATGAAATTCAAAAGGTTTAATATATCAAATGAAACATATGTTCGTATTTTTTATCTTGTTTCGTTTCGTTTCCCTTGCTGCTCCCCTCTTTCAGTTCTCTTTTGGTATATTTTTTGATATGGCGAAGACGTGTGACTTGTGAGCATTTCTAAGAAATGTTTTAAACATTTGATGATGCTTATTTGCTTTGCTTTTCTTCATTCTATAAGGAGTTTCTTCCATTAATTTTGTGTTCCATGTGATGGTTTTCTTAATTTTTTTTTTGTTTCCTTTTTCTTGTTAGCTTCTCTTGACATTTGTAGGCTTTGTAAGAAGGTGTTTTAATCTTTATGGAACAAGTTGAGAAGCTGTAAGCGATTAACCATCACGTATGTTTTCTAATGTTTGCAGACAAGACGGCTTTTACACCAGAACAAATAAATGACGCTTGTTTTGTTGATGTCAAGTCCAATAAAACTGTCTTTGACAGTTTGAGGAACAACCCAAAAGTTAATTATGATGGGAGGTGCTTCTCCTACAAGGTGACTCCTAATATAATATGTCTGCAAATCGTAATAGATCTGCACAATTTTGGATAAGCAATTAATCAAAACCTTCTTACTGTTTCAGTAGTTACCTTTCTTTCCCCTTTCATAGAAGATGAATTTCGGGTTTTTGTTTATAGTCAAAGCATGATTTGAAGGACAAGAACCAATTACTCTCCTTGATATGCAAGTTTCCAGAAGGCATTGCCACTATTGATCTCAAGGATGCATACCCAGCTGTGACGGAGGATTTACAGGTATATCTAATAGATTAATACTTTTCTCTCTTTTGGTTAATTTACATCTTTTTGTTTGGTGTTCCATGACTGAAACTTTGAGAGCATGAGACTTTAATATTGCGTCAAGCTTTGAACGTTTTTCCTGGTTAAATAACCTTGTCTGTATTGCCACTAGGATGGAACTATTTTTCTGGTGATTACTCTCAGATGTGTACTGTCTTGCACTTAGTTCCCCCTTCCCTGTACGAAAATTTTTGCTCTTTTGTGAATTTGTTCTTGTTATTCAAATTTTGTACTTTCTACGGGAGCTTGTTTGCACTGAGGCTTTAGTAATTGATATCATACTTCTAGGCGTTGAAAGCTGCTGGCAAGATTTGGTTGCTATCGAACTATGATTCACAGGAGGACATTGCATATCCAAACGACCCCAGGGCAAATATTAAGGTGGATGATGAGCTTAAGCAGCTTTTTCGGGGGGTTGAATTGGCTCATGATATGCTCGATATTGAGAGGGATCTAATAAAGAATGGCATGAAGCCCGCTACAGACACCGCGAAGAGGAGGGCTGCTGCCCAGGTGCAGGGCATTTCCTCCAAGCCAAAGAACAAGAAGAAGAAGCATGAGAGGACTAAGCTAACAAATGCTCATCTTCCTGAACTTTTTCGAAACCTTGGTTCTTAGAAATTTCGCGTCAAATCAAGTTATGGGTTGCAGGATTGCTGAAATAAGAATGGTTTGGTTCATAATTGAAATGGTAAGGGGTGTCCTGCAACTAAGGGGTGCATGTACGCCACTCACTCATATGTTCTTTTGCTTTTAATGGATTTTTTAAAATTCGAAAACTGTTTTCCTCTTCTGAAAAAAAGAAAAAAAAAGAAGTAATTTTCCTTTTCCATAAATAAAAATATTTTTCCATTGAATGATTTTCAGTACTTGTTTAGCAATCTACAGATTTCCCAGTTTTTTAAAAAATCTGTTAATTCCACAAAAATAACTAAATTTATTATTTAATTTATTGCAAATATTTTGCTGTTCCAAAGTCTTATTAGTTTAAGTGTCATTTTGTTGGAGTTCTGTTCTTTTATTTTTACATATGGAATTTTTGAAGTGGGCATTTTGGAATTTCTTAGATCTTGCACAACCGACTGTAGAAAATTGTCTAATTTAGTTTCTATAAGAACATGTCTTTGCTTATTTCTAACATTTTTTTTTTTTTTTTTTTTTTTTTTTTTCCATAAGAAACATTGAATTAATTTTATTCCCATCTAATTTTAAACCCCAAAGGATATATGACATGAATTTTTCCTATTTCTTATACATTTTGCCAAAACTTTGTATAAAAAATTAGATTTACTTCTCGTATAAGTCGAGCTCTAAATAGTCAAAATCACATCAATTCAACCTGGTAATTTTGGGCATATGACAGAATCTTACATTGTATCAAACATTAAACCATACATTAACAAAGAGATGCATAATATTCATAATTTGGACTCTTTCAAAACTTTAAAGAATTTAAATTTAATAATTTCTCCAAAAAAAAAAATTAAAGAATAACTTAATATTGTTAATTGTTGTATTATTTTTTTACTTCCTTTGAACTTGTTGGTTTAACAAAAAAAAAAATACCAATATGGAACAAACTCTTTGGAAAAATTTTATGGTGAAAGATGACTTGAATTTTCCTATAATGAAGTGGTGATGATTAGGAGAATAGGGGATGGTGAGGTGTGAGACAAAAAAGAAGGAGGGCTATTGTTATGAATGACCCTGTTTGGGTCTTGGGTTCACCAGGACTTCTTGACCTTGAACCATTGGTGCTGTGACATATGCCCTTTTCTCGAGAGGTTCTAGGTTCCTTTCTGCCCATTCTAAGCCTCTGCCCCCCTTGCCTTACAACTGGCTTGGATAAGTTGAAACAACACCCTACGTTTCCTGCCCTTATTTATATCTGTGGACCATATATGCGTTTTTTATTCGTTAGGAGGTTGGATAAACTAAAAATAATACTAATACATAATTGGAGGTAGCCTTTCAATGGTCAAGAGAGACTTGAACTTGAGATTTCACTTTCAAGTAATACAAACCAGATCACACGTATATTAAAAATGTTTTTTTTTGTAACTTGTTATAATTTATATGAGATAAGTACATAATCTATTTTATTTTAAATATTTTTATTTTTATCTTTTTAATATTTTAATTGTTAATGTCAGGACGGCGCAAAGTTTAAAATTTTTTTTTTTGTTTTTTACTTTTTTTTCTTTGAGGATTTATGTCAGGACGGCAGGTTAGTCCAATCTTCTTCATTTTTTTTAAAAAAAATTTTCAGAGTAATTTCGTTCCTTTCCAAATGTAAAGTACAAGAACTGATTTACTTAACTCTATTTTATTTTTCATCTTAGCATCCTTTAAATTATATTTCTGGAATTAATATGAATATTTTTTTATGATAAATACATTATTTTTTTACATTTATTTTAACTCAAAAATCCATTTATCTTATTTTATTATTCAAATAAATTGAGTAAAATGCTGCCAATTAATTAGAAAAATAAAATTAATGTAAAGGGAATTAGATTATAATTTTTTTTTTTTAAATTGAGGGTATATTAGATAGGTTGAAATAAGGGTTAATGATGCAATCGACATTTCCTTAGATTATGAGTTCATAGATTTGGCCTTTCATGCATTAATTACTCTATTATATAAAAGTTTAAATTTAATATAGTATGCAAAAATTAATATTATTATCATAAAAAAAAAAATAATAACTAGTCCATTTTCAAATCTCTAAAAATTTATATATATTTTATATATATATATATATATTATATATTATATATTATATCCTATTTGAACCTAATAATTAACCTTTGATTGTGAATATTTCTTCAATCAGCATGGTTATTATTTATAAAAAGAAAAAGAAAAATATATATAGGAGATAACATAAATGAAGAAAATATAAAAATATATGTTACCTTTGGCTAAATCTTCTTCCCAAACATTGAATGCATTTTCTTCCTTCTGTCATCTCTCCCATTCCTATGCTCACGCAGTTCCTGCAATACACCCTTCCACAAACCTGTGTGGAAAAACCTTGTTAGTCTTCATGGAATTCACAATATATATATATATATATATTTTTTTTTATATATTTTTTTTTTTTTTTCTATATATATATATATATTTTTTTTTTTTTCAAAGTCTCTTATTAGTTTTTATATTATATTAGATATACCAAGCAACGATGCCTGAAAATATAGATGTAAGTAGAGCAAACAGTGCATATATTAGAGTGAGGAATCCCCGGCCGGCGAGTTCTTCCACCTCTATCTTGGTACATGGAGTTCATGCTCATAATACTCATATCATCATCATATCCTCTACTAAACTCTGCATGCCCATGATGATGGCTTGGATGATCAGCATAAGCATATCCATGATGATGACCATGTGATGATATATGCATGCTTCCCACATCATGGTGGCGGTGATTCTTGGTTTCTTGAAAACCTCGATTGAAGTCGAGGCTAGGCAATTTTTTGAAAGAAGAGGGTTTGGTAGATTCGGCTTCTTGAATGGTTTCCATATTATTGGCTATGGATTTCTTTTTTTCTGGTGAATTTGAACTTTGTTTTACAGCTGCAAGATCTTGAAATGTAAGGTTAACTGAATCATCTGGAATTCCCGAATATAGTTCTTCAAGAGCCATCATTTTTGCCTTTGATAATCCTTTCAAGTCTCCTATTTTTCTTGTTCTGAGGGAAGAGAAAGAGAGAAGATTGATTGAATGAATGGTTAAAGAGAAGTTGGAATTGCAGATGATTATAAAGAGACAAGGCCGGACTTTAGAATATGTACAAACAAGAATTATCAAATTAAACAAATCCCATTGTAATGATAAAAAAACTATAATCTGGGAGGTGCAATTTAGCATAACAGAATCCATCTAGAAGTTTTTTTTAAAAAATATTCATAGGACTACCGCGTTGACCAGTTCAGGTTAAGTCCAGAACTCATGGAAAAAGTCAAAACTTAGAGAGAAGGGTGTCAGCTGCTAGGGTTTGTCACTAATTAACTCATTATTTGTTCACTAATATTGTTATTAGTTCTTAATTTTGGTATTATTTATAATGGTCTGATTAATTAAATACTACTATGGGTTGGATACCATCAGGGGCGGATCCAGAAAATTTAATTAATGGAGGCAATATATAAAAGCAATAATTAAGTAGGGGTAAAATATAAAAATTTAGTGAAATAAATTCAAATTCATATAATTATATAGACTAAATGTGAAAAACCAATTATCTTATACTTCTCAGACTCTAAATTGAATCTATTCATTCAAATTTTGCAAAAAGCCAATGATTTTTTTTTTCAAGTACTAAAAAAGTTATTTGATTTTACTTTTTTTGAATTGATAATAAGTTACTAACATTTTTTATTAATTTAATTTTGATGGAATTTAAATTTCAACATCTTTTGAGCTAAAAATCAACTGTAATTCATTAATCTAGTTAATAATATAAGGTATTAAGCAATATATTATTAAGTAAGGGTGAAATGGTAATAATCAATGTTATTGAGATCAAACAATAATACAAATGGAGTCTTCGTGAATACCTAAGTGAATTGAGCGTGAAAACAACTGGGCGTAAACTATAAATTAAGTTGGAAGACGACAATTGTTGTTCTAAACGCAGATAATATTAACCCGGCCAAGGATAAGACAAATAAGAAGCCGGACAATCCTAACTTAAAGACTCAAAAGACTCGTAATATTTGTCTTACTTGAGAGTGGGTAGAATCAATGCTTAGGTTTATTAGTAAGATATGTTTCATGTTTGGTTCGCCTTATATTAAAAACAAAAAAAATTACAAATATAATTGGAAATGTCAAAGATTCTAACCGTCCGATTTTTATTTTTTATATTAATTCTAAAATCAATTAAAATAATGAACACTCATGATTATTTATTTCAATTTTTTTCTCAATCTCTACAAATACCACCATTTCTAATTCACATTTTTTAATAGCTACGATAAAATTAACTGTTTTGTTAGCTGTTAGCTATTTGAATAGTATTTAATTGTTAGTTGTTTGAGTAACTTTTCATAAAACGTTAAAAGATAAACGTTACATGAGTTAACTTTTTATGAAACGTTACTTTAACATTATGTTACTGAACACTATAAAAAATATGTGTAGTCAAATGCTAATAGCTATTTAAAAATTAATATAAAAAATTAATCTATCAAACATACATTGTGTTACTGAACACTGTAAAAATTAGATCCGGATATAATACGCGCATCACAAGTATACTGCTTGCTATGAAATAAAGTGCATAAGACCCAGATATGAATATAAAAACTAATTATCAAGAACTTTTAAGTTGTTAAAAATTTTCCATTTGAACACTAAAATAAAAAATTTTAAAAGGTTATAGCATTAAATTTATAACTTAACCTTATGTTTTAATATATTTTTATTTTATAAACATTTCAAATGTATTAAAATTATTGATTATCATTATTACATAGGAATCACGTTAAATTTTTTGAACTAATGGTTCGAGTCGATACATGCATGCTTTCCATATTGAAAAACCGTTTGTAAGATACAATTTAGGAATTCAATTAAACCTAAGAAAAACATGGTCTTATTTAAGAACCACTAAAATTGGTCGTTGATCCGTCTTTGTACGGACCCTGACATTTCCACCATCACTTGACATCTGTTGCAAAATTGATCACTAATTTACATTTGTTGTCTGTTTCAAATCCATGGTTAATGGTACTCACACTTTCAAGCTCAATTATTGTCCTTGGACCTTTGCAAATTAATGACCGATTTCAGTCTGTCGTACTATCTCTAAATAGTGTTTTTTTTTTTTTTAGTGATTATTGAATTATTTCCCCTGAAAAATGAGCTATTTACTGTTAACTATGAAATTTTCAGATGGAAATATTCACTTTTAAACGAAAAAACTGATGGTAAATCTGAAATAAAAATTAAAGACATTATAATAATTTTTTAAAAGCATAGGGGTGAAGCAAGTTAGACATTATTTAGGAATTCGAGTCCATTTTATCCATAACACAAAAAGAAATTGCAGCAAAAAGAAAATATGTGGAGAGGCTGAGAGCTTGTGCTGGGATATTAGTGTGAAGGAAAAAGAAGAGAAATGTTCATAAAAAATAATTTTTTTAGCAATATATTTTGTGAACGAGGTGCGTCTGCGTTTCAATTAAATTTTCCCACGTTTTTCTAACATTAATCGATAAAAAATCTATACCTATGCCACTTGTAGCTGGCCTATATATTGGACCTTTTCATGAATCATAGCATCCACGAACACCTGAGTTTGTTCCTAGTACCACCAAGTGGGTTCTGAACTTTGTGTTGCAGCTTTGCCACTCACTTTGCTGGATCTAGCCATTTAGGTAACGGTGATCTGGTTGGTCTTCAGTTTATTTTTTTCGTCAAATTATAATTGTTTTTTATTTAATGTTTACTAGATTTCTTTTTTTTGATCTGGTTGGTCTTCAGTTTATTTTTTTCGTCAAATTATAATTGTTTTTTATTTAATGTTTACTAGATTTCTTTTTTTTTTTAACCAAGAGCTATAATTCCATTCGATTCTGAATATAAAGATTTTGGTCATCGAATGTGTTTTCCGAATATCGAATTTATATTTTCACCATTACTAGAATTAAAGCTAAAAATACTAATCTTTTTTTAATCTATATCAATATAAAATACTCGGCTGGATTTAGCCATGTAGGTAATGGTAATCCGGTTCGCCTTCAGTTTATTTTTTTTGTCAAATTACAAATATTTTTTATTTAATGTTTACTATTTTTTTTTTTTTAATCAGGAAGTGTAATTCCATTCGATTCTGAATATAAAGATTTTGGTCCTCAAATGCATTTTCCAAATATCGAACTTATATTCTCACCATTACCAGAATTAAGGTCGTTTAACATCTCAACTAATATTTTGTTAGTTATTAAACTAGTTTCTACAGTATGTTTACAAACAGATTTTTTCACAATCTAGTTGACAGATTTTGTAAATAAAAGAATATTTATAACTAAATTTTATATAGAATCAAAACAACATCTCTCTACTTTTAGGGTCTATTCGGCAAAATTAGCTGCGAGTAGCTTTTTATAAAAGGCTAAACATTAAATCGTTACATGAGTTAACTTTTCACAAAACGCTATTCTAACCTCTATAAACTAGTCCAAACGCTTTGTTACCAAATAACTTTTTAAGTAATATAATCAAGACTCTAAAAACTATTTAAGAAGTTGTCGAACACAGCTTTGATGTGGATTAATTAATCTATGAAAGTTTGTAGAGTGCAAACGACTTCACTCCAAAAAATGTTGTTTTTTGAAAATCAAATATGCTTTCTCCTTGAAATTCAGACCTCTTATTACAACGTATTGGTTTTTTTTTTTTTTTTTTTTTTTTGTTTTTTTTTTTTTTTTTTATTTTTTATAAATCACCGATATTTGCTCCGTTGTCCGATACCTATAATTAAATATTGATTTGTAAGATATGTGTACAGTGTACTGACCTGTATCTTTGCTGTTTTACTTTACAGTAACATGAGGATCTGGACTATTGGCCATTTCTCAACTGAAATGAGCTTTTCCCACCAAACTATTCTACTGATAACGATAATCTTATTAATTTACTTGATAAAATCCCATCAATCACCATCCCAATATAAAAAAGCAAAACTACCGTTACCTCCTGGTCCAAAACCATGGCCTATCATTGGTTGCCTACCTGAGATGTCCAAATGCTTTCAGATGGATACACCATCTCATGAAACAAATGAACACTGAAATTGCTTGTTTTCGACTTGGGAACGTTCATGTAATAACGGTCACTTGCCCCAATATTAGCTGTGAATTCCTGAAAGCTCAAGATTCTAATTTTGCCACCCGACCCATAACCATATCTAGCGGTGTTACTTCAAAAGAGTACTTAACAACAGCTCTTACACCTTGCGGAGACCAATGGAAGAAAATGAAGAGAATTTTAGTGACCCAAATGCTTTCTCCAGCGAAACAACTATGGTTTTATGAGAAAAGAGTAGAAGAAGCTGAGCACCTTGTCCGTTACGTGTACAAGCAATGCAGTGAAGGTGGTTTAGTGGATGTGAGGATTGCTGCAAGACACTATTGTGGAAATGTAATTAGGAAAATGGTGTTTAATAAGAGGTTTTTTGATGTGAGGATTGCTGCAAGACACTATTGTGGAAATGTAATTAGGAAAATGGTGTTTAATAAGAGGTTTTTTGGAAAGGGAAAGAAGAATGGCGGACCTGGTTTTGAAGAAGAAGAGCATGTTGATGCTCTTTTTAGAATTCTTGATTATATATTTTCATTTTGTTTGTCTGATTATTTGCCATGTTTGAAGATCTTTGACTTGGGCGGTCATGAGAAGATTATTAAAGCGGCTGATGGGATTATAGGAAAATATCATGATCCTATAATTGAAGACAGAGTTCAACAATGGAAGAATGGAGCTAAGAAGGAAGCAGAGGACTTACTTGATGTTCTTATTACTTTAAAAGATGATAATGGCAATCCTTTGCTATCAAGGGATGAGATTAAAGCTCAAATTACTGTAATTCTCACCCTTATCTTAATTATTAATTTGTTGTAACGAGAAAGACCTACCTACGCCTGTGTATGTGCCCACCTATACATTGAATCAATTCTAAATTAAATTTTAGTTCAAATAAAGATATTTCTAACCATATACTAGAAAAAAAAAAACATTGTTTAAAAAACTTTTCTTTAATTGACTTGGTGTATGTGGGTGGGAAAGAAATGTCCTTTTGTAATTAACCTGAATGATTGGCTTAGTTTAGTAATTAAGCTTGCTTGTCATTTGAATCTAATACTCAAATCAAGAATTCGAAACTGCAAATCATATGTACTGAAACTGTTGAAAAATTAACCCTGAATTTGAAAAGAGTAAAGCTAAGATGGAAGAGGTGTACTTAACACTAATGATTACAATAAAATTAATCAGGACATGTTATGATATTTGCAGGAAATAATGTTAGCAACAGTGGATAATCCATCAAATGCGGTGGAATGGGCAATTGCAGAGATGATAAACCAACCAAAGATATTCAAAAAGGCAGTAGAAGAGTTGGATAAAGTGGTTGGAAAGGAGAGACTAGTTCAAGAATGGATAAAGTGGTTGGAAAGGAGAGACTAGTTCAAGAATCCGATCTTTCACAGCTTAACTACATCACTGCTTGTGCAAGAGAAGCCTTTCGCCTCCACCCCGTAGGGCCTTTCAATCTTCCTCACGTCTCCATTGCCGATGCAACAGTCGCAAACTATTTTATTCCAAAAGGCAGTCATGTTCTACTAAGCCGGATGGGTCTTGGCCGGAACCCTAAGGTCTGGAATGAACCGTACAAGTTCAAACCAGAACGCCACATCAAGAATGATGGGTCTGGAGTGACCCTTACTGAGCCTGATTTGCGTTTCATTTCATTTAGCACGGGAAGACGCGGGTGTGCAGGGGTGACGATGGGGACTTCAATGACTTTGATGCTATTTGCAAGACTTCTTCAAGGTTTTACTTGGAACGTTCCTCCTAATCAGGCAAGTATCGATCTCAAAGAGTCCGACAGTAGTTTAACACTTGCTAAGCCATTGGTTGCACTTGTGAAGCCGCGCTTGCCTGCGTACGTATATGACCAAATCATGCATGATCAATAAGAAAGGAGATGTATGGAATTGAGGCTTTAAACTTCTATTTCATAATATCCTGTTTCAAATGACATGGCAGATTCAAATGAAGCTGAGGTTGATGCAATAATATTGAATTACTCTCCTTGTCAGCTTTTATCAATATTATTTTGATGCACGCTCCTACTCTTTATCCAGATTGTATGGAAGTATCTGTAATTTTTTTTATGGAAGCCTGATGGCTTGGGTGTAACTCTTTGTAATGGCTTGGGTGTAACTCTTTGTACTGTTAAGTTTTTCCTAAACAACATTAATATCAATAAAAAATAATTAAACTTGCTGATAAAAAAAACTTCTATTTCATAAAAACGGACTATATAATTTTTATTTTGCAGGTTTTCATAGAATAATGAATAAAAAGTTGCAACCTTTGAGCAGAGATTGATTGAATGAATGGTTAAAGAGAAGTTGGAATTGCAGATGATTATAAAGAGACAAGGCCGGACTTTAGAATATGTACAAACAAGAATTATCAAATTAAACAAATCCCATTGTAATGACAAAAACACTATAATCTGGGAGGTGAAATTTAGCATAACAGAATCCATCTCAGAAGTTCTTTTTAAAAAAATATTCATAACAAATCCAATTTTTATTTTTATATTAATTTTAAAATAAATTAAAATAGTGAACACTCATGATTATTTATTTCAATTTTTTTTCTTAATCTCTACAAATACCACCATTTCTAATTCACATTTTTTAATAGCTACGATAAATTAACTGTTTATATAGTTGTTAGCTATTTGAATAGTATTTAATTGTTAGTTGTTTGAGTTGTTTTTCATAAAACGCTAAAAGATAATCGTTACATAAATTAACTTTTTATGACACGTTACTTTAACATTACGTTACTGAATACTATAAAAAATAGCGTGTAGTGAAATGATAAAAACTATTTAAAAATTAATATAAAAAATTAATCTATCAAACATATGTTGTGTTACTGAACACTGTAAAAATTAGATCCACATATAATATGAAGATCACAAGTATACTGCTTGCTATGAAATAAATTGCATAAGACCCAGATATGAATTCAATTAAACCTAGGAAAAACATAGTCTTATTTAAGAACCACTAAAATTGGTCGTTGATCCGTCTTTGTTCGGTCCCTGACATTTCCACCATCACTTGACATCTGTTGCAAAATTGATCACTAATTTACATTTGTTGTCTGTTTCAAATCCATGGTTAATAGTATTCACACTTTCAAGCTCAACTACTGTGGTTTGCAAATTAATAACCGATGTCAGTCTATCGTACTATCTCTAAAAAGTGTTTTTTTTAGTGATTATTGAATTATTTCTCCTGAAAAATGAGCTATTTACTGTTAGCTGTGAAATTTTCAGATGGAAATATTCACTTTTAGATGAAAAAACTGATGGAAATATTCACTTTTAGATGAAAAAACTGATGGTAAATCTGAAACAAAAATTAAAGATATTATAATAATTTTTACTATATCTAATTAATCTATATATGTTAATTCGAGTCCATTTTATACATAATACAAAAAGAAAATATGTGGAGTGGCTGAGAGCCTGTGGTGGGATATTATTGGTGAACGAAAGATAAGAGAAATGTTCATAAAAATTAATTTTTTTGGCAATATATTTTGTGAACGAGGTGCGTTTCCGTTTCAATTAAATTTTCCCACGTTTTTCTAACATTAATCGATAAAAAATCTATACCTATGCCACTTGTAGCTGGCCTATATATTGGACCTTTTCTTGAAGCATAGGATCCACGAACACATGAGTTTGTCCTAATTTCTAGAACCACCAAGTGGGTTCTGAACTTTGTGTACCACCAAGTGGGTTCTGAACTTTGTGTTGCAGCTTTGCCACTCACTTTGCTGGATCTAGCCATTTAGGTAACGGTGATCTGGTTGGTCTTCAGTTTATTTTTTTCATCAAATTACAATTGTTTTTTATTTAATGTTTACTAGATTTCTTTTTTTTTTTAACCAAGAGCTGTAATTCCATTCGATTCTGAATATAAAGATTTTGGTCATCGAATGCGTTTTCCGAATATCGAATTTATATGTTTTCCGAATATCGAATTTATATTTTCACCATTACTAGAATTAAAGCTAAAAATACTAATCTTTTTTTAATCTATATCAATATAAAAGTTGAAAAAATGAGAAAGGTTAAGGCTTTTTCTTTTGTTCAGCATTTTTTTCTTAAAATTTTTGAAAGTTTTTTATTTTTTATTTTTGTGTCGTGATTTGACAGTTTAAGTATTTTTATTAATATTTTATTATAAACTATATATGTTAAATTATTTAAATTGGACTTTATCTATATCTAATTAATCTATATATGTTAATTAAATGTGATCTAGTTGATCTTTTCATGTCTTATCGAAGATGTGAGTAACTATTTGATGACTAATTTAGCACCGGAAGACACAGGTGTGCAGGGGTGACAATGGGGACTTCAATGACTTTGATGCTATTTGCAAGACTTCTTCAAGGGTTTACTTGGAACGTTCCTCCTAATCCGACAAGTATTGATCTTAAAGAGTCCGAGAGTAATCTAACACTTGCTAAGCCATTGATTGCACTGGCGAAGCCGCGCTTGCCTACATATGTATATGGCGAAATCATTCATAATTAACTTGGGAAAGAGATGTCTATATGGAACCCAATCTGTAACCTTTTATTTCATAAGCTAATTTTGTCTAACTCAATCTTGGTAGGTGAAAAAAACCTGGTCAACTACATCAAAGTAAAGCTCAATATTTCAGATTCGGTTAACACATTTTAAGAGGGTATCCGACCGTTAAAAAGGAACTATGCATTACAAATAATAATAAATAAATAAATCATCTAAAAAACCTCTCTTTTTTTATAGTCTTGAGTTGTTAGCTTCTTGGCATGTGTTCATCGATTATGTAGAGCAAAATGCATGAAAAGTTGTGATTATATTGGGCTTGAGTTGTTAGCTATGTGCCTCCACTATGTGGTGCCAGGGTCTTGTATGCAGGTTTTGGTTATTTTTAGATTTTTTTTTTTTTTTTTTTTTGAATTTTTTTTTTTTTTTTTTTTTTTTTGGTTTTTTTTTTTTTTTTTTTTTTTTGGTTCTGCATACTACCGCTCTTAACAACCTTTATCTTATATCTTATATTATTATAGAAACTGATATTTGATTACAAAGAAAAAAAAATCAATCAAACCTGTCTAATTAGTTTTTTTAATAGTGTGAATAATGAGAGGATTCGAGACCTTCACCACAGAAGTTTTCACCAATTTGGTGAGTTATGGGGAGAACTAACCTTATTGTGTAGCTCATCGTATTATTTGACTCATTCAGCCTCCTAATAAATAAATAAAAAAGAAAAGAAAAGGAATCGATAATTTTTAGAGATTTTGGACACGGACTCATGGGCTTCATTGTATGCTTAGCCTTTCAACTTGAGAATATAATAATGAAATATAAGGAACAAATATATTAATGATAATCATGTCTAAACTTTTATAAGGATTACTCATTAGATATTAAACGAGCATAAATCCTGGCACGATATGCCGATCAATTATTATAAATTATATATTTATAAATGTAATTTTCAAATTGTGCTATGATAATGGAATATAACATTGCAAACTTTATGAATGATAATTTACATTTTGACTTGATCCGTAATCATTTCAATTTATAGATGGGACTATAAATATTATATTGGCACATACATACACACATGATTATGTACGAAAGCTACTTCTCATAGCAATTTGGTCAAAATATTTATCACCACACAATTATATTTTTTTCAGTTAAATAAAATTAAACATCTATACATGTGCATTTTTGTCTGGGTTGAATGAGTACAAAATATTTCATAACTTATATGCAATTAGTACATATTAATATATAAATAATCAGTAAATTGATTGAATAGATTTATAAAATTATGGTTGAGTGTTTGCTAGAGAAGTAATAAAAATAATTGATTAAAAAAAAAAAATACAAAGAATGTATAGGCACATTTGAAAGTTTTGGGCTATTGGGCACATTTGAAAGTTTTGGGCTATTGGGCCGGGGAAAGACAATATTATTTTACTTTTTTGAATAATATCAATTTAGGCTTAATCACCAAAAAAAAAAGCTTCAACTTTTGAGATTTTTTTTATTTAAATTTGGCCAACACTTTGAATTTTGTCAATCTAATCGGATTGTGTGTGGTCAAGTGATGCAACTCCTGATGATGATGACCGTGTGATGATATATGCATGCTTCCCACATCATGGTGGTGGTGATTCTTGGTTTCTTGAAAACCTCTATTGAAGTCGAGATTGAAGTCGAGGCTAGGCAATTTTTTGAAAGAAGAGGGTTTGGTAGATTCGGCTTCTTGAATGGTTTCCATATTATTGGCTATGGATATCTTTTTTTCTGGTGAATTTGAACTTTCTTTTACAGCTGCAAGATCTTGAAATGTAAGGTTAACTGAATCATCTGGAATTCTCGAATACAGTTCTTCAAGATCCATCATTTTTGCCTTTGATAATCCTTTAGAGTCTCCCATTTTTCTTGTTCTGAGGGAAGAGAGAGAAGAGATTGATTGAATGAATGGTTAAAGAGAAGTTGGAATTGCAGATGATTATAAAGAGACAAGGCCGGACTTTAGAATATGTACAAACAAGAATTATCAAATTAAACAAATCCCATTGTAATGACAAAAACACTATAATCTGGGAGGTGAAATTTAGCATAACAGAATCCATCTATCCCATTGTAATGACAAAAACACTATAATCTGGGAGGTGAAATTTAGCATAACAGAATCCATCTCAGAAGTTCTTTTTAAAAAAATATTCATAACAAATCCAATTTTTATTTTTATATTAATTTTAAAATAAATTAAAATAGTGAACACTCATGATTATTTATTTCAATTTTTTTTCTTAATCTCTACAAATACCACCATTTCTAATTCACATTTTTTAATAGCTACGATAAATTAACTGTTTATATAGTTGTTAGCTATTTGAATAGTATTTAATTGTTAGTT